ATAAATGGTAAAGAAAATGATTTCCTTCTCTGAGTAAACTAAAAAATTGATGTTGATGGTTTCTTAAACAGAAAATAGCCAAATTATCAATGTAACTTTAAGTGTCAAAATAGCTGTTTATTTTCCTGCCAATAAATAAAGAATGGAATCAGACTGAAATAGAGATTATTTTCCCAAGTCTGGAGATCAACATGTAGATTTGGGTGTCAGCACGGTATTCCAAGAAAATGAACTTTCTAACAGTGCTGGAAGTACTAAATTAGCTTACCTTCACAATCTTATAAGAGCCAGAATGTATCTTATTTTATTTTATTTATTTTTTTAAGACGGAGTTTCGCTCTTGTTGCCCAGTCTGGAGTGCAATGGTGCGATCTCAGCTCACTGCAACCTGTACCTCCCAGGTTCAAGCGATTGTCCTGCCTCAGCCTCCCAAGTAGCTGGGATTACAGGTGCATGCCACGACACCACGCTAATTTTTGTATTTTCAGCAGAGACAGGTTTCACCACGATGGCCAGGCTGGTCTCGAACTCCTGACCTCATGATCCACCTGCCTTGGCCTCCCAAAGTGCTGGGATGACAGGCATGAGCCACCGTGCCCAGCCCAGAATGTATTTTTTCAAAATAACTTTTCAAAAATGAAAGTGAGTAAGCAAAGATAAGTTAGGCAATTTGCCTAAAGCTTCATCAGGAGACTCGGGAGGAGAAAGTGAATTAGATCCTTTAGAGTGCAGTGTTTTTTCTACTTGCCAAAGAGGAAGGCATCTGGGAGTCCACGACAGCTTCAATAAAAAGATGTAAAATAACTAATGATGCTGCTGGTTAGGTGGAAAGTGAGAGAAAGACAAGTGTTTGGGGATGCTAGAATTGTCGGTGGGAATCAGAGGGAAATTAAAAACAAAACAAAAACGCATCTCCTTAAAGGCTTACCTCTGGTTGTTTTACAAGCATAATATCCATTATAGAATACCTATGGCATGCAAAGATTTGTAGTTTTTTTTTTTTTTCCCCTTTGAGACGGGGTCTCACTATGTTGCCTAGGCTGAAGTGCGGTAGCACGATCATGGCTCACTGCAGCCTGGAAAATTTTCAAACATATTTTGTGGAGATAGGTTCCTACTGTGTTGCCAAGGCTGGTCTTGAACTCCTGGCCTCAAGTGATCCTCCTGCCTTGGCCTCCCAAAGTGCTGGGATTATAGGTGTGAGCCTTTAATTTGAGAATTAAATTCCCAAAGCTGAAGTCTGAGAACAAGTAACATATCAGTGAATGAACCTAGCCAACCACTGAGCGTTTTGTTATTCTTTCTTTTTTTTTTTTCTTTTAAAGATGGAGTCTTGCTCGTCTCCCAGGCTGGAGTGCAATGGCGTGATTTTGACTCACTGCAACCTCTGCATCCTGGGTTCAAGCGATTCTCCTTCCTCAGCCTCCTGAGTAGCTGGGATTACAGAAGCCCGCCACCACGCCCAGCTAATTTTTGTATTTTTAGTAGAGATGAAGTTTCACCATGTTGGCCAGGCTAGTCTCAAACTCCTGACCTCAGGTGATCCACCCGCCTTGGCCTCCCAAAGTGCTGGGATTACAGGCGTGAGCTACAGTGCCTGGCCGCATTCTGTTATTCTTATTTAATCTTTAGAATAATCCTGTGTGGTATTTCTGTCCTTATTTATCAGAGGAGACAAAAAAAGAAATTATGCTCAATGGTGGCAGTAATGAATATATGAAGATGTTAGGATGTATTCCATCAAGAATGACAACAGCAAGGCTGGGCGTAGTGGCTCATGCCTGTAACCCCAGCACTTTGGGAGGCTGAGGCGGGCAGATCACCTGAGGTCAGGAGTTCGAGACCAGGCTGACCAACATGAAGAAACCCCGTCTCTACTAAAAATACAAAAAAAAAAAAAAAGAAAAAAAAAGAAAAATTAGCCGGTTGTGGTGGCTAATGCCTGTATAATCCCAGCTAGTTGGGAGGTTGAGGCAGGAGAATCGCTTGAACCCGGGAGGCGGAGGTTGCTGTGAGTTCAGATCTTGCTATTGCACTCCAGCCTGGGCAACAAGAGTGAAACTCCGTCTGAAAAAAAAAAAGAATCACAACAGCCTACTACACATTTCTAGCATACTACTACTCAAGAGTCAAAATTTAAGATACTTCCCATACTATCTCAAGTTTTCCTTCTACTGAATAATATCCTGCATTTACATGTGACTACATTCTCTCTCTCTTTTTAATAGACAAGATCTTGCTATGTTGCTCAGGCTAGAGTCCAGTGGCCATTCACAGGTGCCTTCATAGCACACAGTAGCCTAGGACTCCTGGGCTGAAGTGATCCTCCCTCCTTAGCCTCCCAAGAAGCTGGGACTATGGGTACACAACACCTGGCTTACATTCTCATTTGGCAGTACTTTGTATCTCCCTAGCTGAAATGATGATTTACCTACTATTTAAAAAAAGAGATAAAGGCACAGATACACACTTTCATTGTTAGGCAGAAAGTAAGCATCTTCTGAAGTGGCTTTGATTATTCTGGGGACTGTTGCATGCATTAATTATGCTTCTCAAATTCCAGTGAGTTATATGTATCATTACTGTCCCTTTACCCAGATCAGAATAGTGCAGTTTGGTTCAATGGAAGGCATGAAGAATTGAGAATGAAGTGGTTCAACTTTTTATGTTTTAGTTTTCTCACTAGCTAAATATATCCTAGTGAATGAGTGGTATCAAGGAATTTGTCAGAACTGCTATGAGGTCCAAACATCATAAGCGAAAGTGCATCTAAAAGTTCAGATTTTAAAATTAATGTAAGGCATTGAAAATTTAAAGAAACATGTATTGAGTACTTATTATAAGTAATGTACTACAGCTTTAATGGTTGTTTAAAAGATGCATTAGAGAGCGACAGAAAATAAAAGGAATAGCTACAGAGTTTGGGAAGGCACAGGGAAAGCGTGGCTCAGTATCAAAGCTAAAATTCTGGAGAACACACAATCAGATTTTGAGAGATGGACAAGTCAACCTTGGAATAATTTCCCTTATTGGGGCCGGGCGCGGTGGCTCAAGCCTGTAATCCCAGCACTTTGGGAGGCCGAGACAGGTGGATCACGAGGTCAGGAGATCGAGACCATCCTGGCTAACACGGTGAA